CCAGGCTGGTCTTGAACCCCTGGACTCAGGCAATGCCCTTACCTCAGCCTCCCAAAATGCTGGGATTACAGACATGAGCCACTGCACCTGGCACACTATGTCTTTGAAAACTGATGAGAAGGCCGACTGTGGTGGCTCTCGCCTATAATCTTAGCACTTTGGGAGACCAAGATGAGAGGGTTGCCTGAGTGCAAGGGTTCGAGATCAGCCTGAGCAACTTGGCAAGACCTTATCTCTATCACTACAATAACTCAAAAGATTAGTCAAGTGTGGTGGAAAGTGCCTGTAGTTCTGCTACTTGGAAGGCTGAGGCAGGATCACCTGAGCCCAGCAGATCGAGGCTGTGGTGGCTGTCAGTGTACCATGGCACTTGAGCCTGGGCAACAGAGTGAGATCCAACTCAAAAAGAAAAAAGAAAATTGATAAAAACAGATTTTAAATGTTCTTATCACAAGAAAATAAGAAAATGTGAGTGATGGATATGTTGATTAACTTGATTTAATCATTTCAAAATGTACATACAACAAAACATCACACTGTACCCCATAAATGTATATAATTTTTGTCAATGAAAAAAATTTTTAAAAATAATATACTGTACTTCTTTATTTATTTAGAGTCCGGGTCTCACTGTCACCCAGGCTAGAGTGCAGTGGTGTGATCACAGCTCACCACAGGCTTGACCTCCCAGGCTCAGGTGATCTTTCTGCTTCACCTGGAACTACAGGTATACCACCATGCTCAGTTTTTTTTGTTGTTTTTTTTTTTTTGAAGCACTTTTTTTGTGTTACTTCTGGTCTCAAATTCCTGAGCTTAAGTGATCCTCCTGATTGGAACTTACTAAGCCTTTCTAATTTGACTCATACCTTTCTCTTCAGCTCTGGAAAATATCAAATATCTTTTTTTTTTTAGATTAGAAAATATAGTTTATTTAGAAAGTAAATTAGAAAGAGAGAGCAAGAAAAAGGAGATTCACTTCCCCAAGGTTGAAAAGGGGGCTAAAGCCAGGAAACATGGCAACAGCCATAACTCAAAGAGTCTAGAAAGGCAAATGGCTGGAAAATATGTTTTATTTCTTCAGTTTCCCTTCCATTATCTCCTGGCACACCCAAGAGATGGAGGCCAGAATTTTTGGTTCTTCCAAGTGAGGAATTTAGTTAGTTGCAAAGTTAGACTGAGTACAAAATCCTAGATTTTCATATATTCCCTCATGTCTCTGAAGGTTGTCTTGTACAAGCAACAATCAGTATTAATTTTTTTGCACCAACACACTACCATTACAAAGCATTCAACTTGGTTTTCAAGGGCATAACTTTCTTTTCACACTTATGTATATAAATCAAATGAAAAAAGATAATGTGCAGTTATATTAAGAGATGAGCCATCATTCAGCACAGAACTCAATGTTGATCAGTGCTGTAGAAGTCAGTTAAGAAGCATCTACTGTATGTACTGATTGCCCTATACTGAGTCCTACTCTTTTATTGATTCTGATCACTCAGGCTTAGTTCTTTTATTTGTTGAATTTGTCTTTCATTGTGTTTGCTTTTCTCAGCTGATGGTAAGAGACTGTGAGTTCATCTCTACTTGAGTAACTTGCTGGGGAAGGGGGAGAGGGCTGTGATGGGCAGCTGTTGCTCCTCTGCCTTGAACTATTTGCAGTGAAAGGAGGGATGCTTAGGACCCCAGCAAGTGTTCTTCTGGAAATGGATGTTCCTCATTCTTGCCAGGTGCTACAGGTTGTGTGGGGAGGGTTGGTGTCCTGTTTTGGTTCTTAGAATTTTGGCTTGCTAGCAGATATCTTCTTTGCTGACATGTGGCACAGCAGGGAGAGAGTCCTTAATTGCTCAGTCTTTTGTCATAGGTCTTCCCTTTCCTCCTCACGTCCACCATCTCCAGGAATGGATATCCTCGGTGTCTCACCATTTCTCTGCACTAATCTTTCTTCTGCCCCTCTGGACCATCCTCTACTTTCTGCCTTATTGAAGTTTCTCAGTTTCTGATCCACCAAAATGCTCTCCTCCTTGTTTTTGATTCTAAAGATACAGATGTGTTTCTAATATAGTTTTCACGATTCTTATGGATTTGTCAGGAGAAAGGATTCCATGAATTTACTTCATCCTCTTAAACCTGGAACTGCTACTGGTTTCTGATAGATGTTCTTTACCAAGTGAAGGAAGTTTCCTTTATTCCTAGTTTTCTAAGACATTTATATAAAGGGAAGCCGAAGGTTTTTTTTTTTTCCTTTTCTAAGAAAGCTGGGTTTCAGCCGGGCTCGGTGGCTCAGCCTGTAATCCCACGCTTTGGGAGGCTAAGGTGAGTGGATTGCCTGAGCCTGCGAGTTCGAGACCCGCCTGGGCAACTTGGCAAGATCTCATCTCTGTAATAAATCAAAAAATTAGCCAGGCGTGGTAGCATGCACCTTTAGTTCCAGCTACTTGGAAGGCTGAGGTGGCAGGATTGCCAGAGCCCAGCAGGTCAAGGCTGCAGTGGCCGGGAGCGGCCACTGCACTCCAGTCTGCGTGACAGAGTGAGACTCCAACTCAAAAAAAAAAAGAAAGCTGGGTTTTATTAACAGACTTTTTTCAGCACTTGCTGAGATGCCATTTTTTTTTCTTTAACATATTAAAATAATGTATTACATTACAGCTTATCAAATGTGAATTTGTAAGAACCCCTACTTCCTAAGATCATGCTCCAGTCTTACTACATGCCATATTCAATTTATCAATTGTATTTTGAAGTGCTATATCTATAAAAGTTAACCGGCATTTGTAGATAAATGTTAAGTTTTTCAGGTTTAAGTACCATGGTTTTGCTAACCTCTTATTAGGGAAATCTGTCTTTTATTCTAGGACAGTCTAAATAATAAAAATCATTTAAAAAATATTTACTATGTTTCTGTGGTAGCTCACACCTGTAATCCTAGCACTTTGGGAGGCTGAGGCAGGAAGATTACTTGAGTCCAGAAGTTCAAGACCAGCCTGGATGACATAGCAAGACCTTGTCTCTACATTTAAAAAAAAATTAGCTATGGTGGCACGTGCCTGTAATCCCAGCTGCTCAGAATACTGAACCCAGCAGATCGAGGCTGCAATAACCATGATCACACAATTGCACTTCAGCCTGGCTGTCAGAATAAGAGGCTGACTCAAAAAAAAAGATTTACTGGATTTTTCTGTACTTTGCCTCTTTGTGAGAAAAACTTCTTATACATACTAAAAGGTTGGAAAGAGAAAAGTGCTCAAAATTGTTCAAACTACCAAGCAGTAGCCCTCCTGACTCCCCTCAAAAAGCCATTTATAACAATGATATATCTGTCTGAATATGTCCTATACAAACACACATGTATACATATGCTCATTCTATGTAAGTGTATATATATATTTTAAATAAAATGATATTATACCAATTTGCAACTTGCTGTTTTCACTTTAGACATCTTTCAGTATCAAAATGTAGATCCAATGTATTCTTTTTTTTGAGTTAAAAATCTCACTCTGTCGCCCAGGTTGGAGTGCAGTGGCATGCTCATGGCCACTGCAGCCTCGACCTGCTGGGTTAAGGTGATCCTTCCGCCTCAGCCTCACCATGGCCAGCTAATTTTTTTATTTACTGTAAAGATGAGGTCACGTCAAGTTGCCCGGGCTGGTCTCAAACCCGTGAGCTCAGGCAATCCTCTCACCTCCGCCTCCCAAAGTGGTGGGACTATAGGTGTGAGCCACTATGCCCGGCCTCCAATTTATTCTTAAACAGTTGCATTGTTTACCACTGCCTGAAGGTGCCACAGTTAATACTACCATACTGTCTTCCAAAACGTTTATATGAACTTACTTCATGGGGTAGATTTTGACAAGAGAGGGTTTTGTAAAGCATGACATAAAAACTAAAGCTATAAAGTCAAAGATAAATTTTACTGTGTAAGAACTGAAAATTTCTAGCCAGGTGTGGTGGCGCATTCCTGTAATCACAGTACTTAGAAAGGATTGCATGAGGCCAGGAGTTTGAGACCAGCCTGGACAACATAGTGAGACCTCATCTCACTAAAAAATTAACAAAAAGAACTGAACATTTCTGTTAAGCAAAATATAATAAACAATTTGGGGGTACTGAAGGCTTTGCCTTTTGTGAGGGGCAATTCTTGTGATATTTACAATTTGTAATTATCTTAACATCTTTACAACTAGAACGATGCTGAGGTCCCTGAAGGGAGTATATCCTGTTTGTTGCTACATTCTTTGGAATCAGCACAGTGACTGGTACTTAGGAGCTTCTCATATATTAAATAAATAAAACAAAAACAATCTACCTGAAAAATAGGCAAAGGAAAACCATGCACACACACACAAAATGACCAATAAACACAAAAAAGATGTTCACATTTAAAATTCAAGAATCCAAATCAAAACTCTCATGTGATCTAGAAGACTAGCAAAGTTTAACAAGTAACTGTTTCAACTTTTTGGGAAGATAATTTAACAATTCTCTTAAAATCTTAAGTGTAAATATTCTGGTTTTTTTAAGTGTGAATATTCTTTCACTGACAATTCTAATAACAGGAATCTGGCTTACAGTAACAAATTGTATAAGTATAAAGAAATAATTTCATTGCATATTACCTTATAGAAGAAACAATATGATCAATGCAAGTGTCCCTCAACCAACTGAGGACTAATTAAATTATGGAACATCTACATAATGCAGCAGCACTATAAAACACCTCAAGAAAAATGTCTACTTTCAAAGAAATCCATTTGTAGGAGGAAAAAATAGGGCTCCTAGCCAGGTGCGGTGGCTCATGCCTATAATTCCAGCACTTTGGAAGGCCAAGGCGAGAGGACTGCCTGAGCCCATGAGATTGAGACCAACCCGGGCAACTTGGCAAGACCTCATCTCTAAATAAAAATGGAAAAGAAAAAAAAAAAAGGACTCTCCTAGAAAGGATAAAGGACAATACTTGTGGGCTGGAGTACGGGGGAGAACAAAGGAGGAGTGCATACCAGAAAGACAGACTGACAGTTGCTCATCATCCACTGGAGATGCTTTTTCACTGTTCTTTCCACCTCCTGCTTCATTTTCTAGTTTGACTTCACTGCACACCAGAGGAGCCTCCAGTGGACTTTTACAGTAAGGGTGGTCCAGCAACTTAGAACTAAGAATGTTCTGCTTGAGAGATCCATCCGCCTCCATCTGGTATGAGTTCTCACTTTGAACAGTCTCTTCGGACACAGGCCCATCCACACTACTTACAAGTTTACCTGCTCCAGACACTGACAGTTTTATTCTGTCATCACTGACAGTACTTGTCCGATTTTCCTGACCCAGAGTCATAGTTTCTCTTTCAGTTTCTGAGCTGAACATGTTACCAGAATTATGTTCTGATAAGGGGATGTCACGAATCAGCTCTGTACACTCCCACTTAGGAGAGGAACAGGGCGACTGGTCCCAGGCATATGTGGCTCTGCCATTCTGTTGGTCAGGGAATGCTTCATCTAAACTAAGCTCCTTGCCCAAGAAAGGGCTTCCTTTAGTACGGCCATCAGGCATATGAGAGTTCTTTCCCTTCACCACAGCACTGCTGTCCATATCTGGAAAGCACGGCTGATGCCGACAAGAAGAGTCTTTAGGTTCTGGGGGAGGAAATGCGCTGCCACTGTCACCCTCGCTGACGTTCTCCTTAAGAGTCTCTTGATGGTCCCCAGTGACCTTCTGTACCCAGCTTCGCTGGGCTTTTCTTAGCTTACAAACTTTGCTTTTTGTTCTGAAGTGCTGGGATCTGAGAATCCTGTACCGAAATCTAATCATGGATAATTTCTCATACATCATAAGAGGAGATACTTTTATTCTTCTATGTTGGTTAAGTTGGAACTTTCTTGAAATTAGGGGTCCCCCACTCCTGTGGCACTCCGGCCCTTGGTAGCAGCCATAACAAAAGCGCTTTCTCTTATGGTTGCTCAAAGTGACCACAATTGTGCCACTATCACCTGGACTTTGGCTCTCCCCATTGAACTTCATGGGAAAGTCAGAAACTTGTGGCTCTGTCCTAGGTCTGTGACCATTGGCCTGACCTAAAACACTATTTGCTGGAAAGTCAGCAACTGCCTTCAAGAGACTTTTCTCTCTGCAGTATTCATGGTCAGAATTCCTTGCTGATGACAGCAACTTCTCTGCTTGGAGCTTCAGGAGATTCCTTGAGGAAGAAATGAAATGTTTAGTGTCCTTTCTTTTCACTTTAGAGGACAAAGAACTAACATTCTGAGTAGCCACATCGAACTTAGTCTGAGCACAAAGGGGTTCATCATGGATCCATGTTTTCTGGACTTGAAGGGCCTTGTTTCTACACCGGAAATGCCTCAACTGTTTATTCCAAGTAGTTGGCCTTCCTAGCTTAGATTTTAGAATGCACAAGTGTTGGTGAAAATAGAACTTCTTAAAGCCTCCAAACCCAGTATTCCATTTCTCAGAAAAGGCTAAGTGGATTCCTTTCCTCCATAGAATTTTCCTTTGCTTTTTCATTTTACTGATGCATAATGATATCTGGATACAGCTGTGAAAATAAAAAGAAAAGTTACATTTCTATCTAAAAATAAGCTCATGAAGACACATAGTAAAAAAGAGTATATATACTTTAGACTATCAAGCATAATGAAATCCTACCTGATCAAGGTTTTCATCACGATGAAAGTGGGGAGGAGGGAAGACACAATTACTCTAACAAGACCCCATTTGCTGTACACCTGCCTCTGACAGAAGTAACTTTCAAGAACCACATCCCAGTATGCAGTATCACTTAAGCCCAGGAGTTTGAGACCACCCTGGGCCACATGGTGAGAACCCAGCTCTACAAAAAACAAAAAAATTAGCTGGGCATGGCAGTGTGCAAGTTACTTGGTGGGGGGGGATGAAGTGGGAAGATCGCTTAAGCCTAGGGTTCAAAGTTGCAGTAAGCCATGTTCATGCCACAGCACTCCAGCCTGAGTGACAGAATCAGACCCTGACTCAAAAAAAAAAAAAAGTCACCTAAATTTTGTGTGCTGTCATTGAAAAAAGAAGAATGGAAGGAGGAGGAGGAGATCAAATACCTTAAGACTAATTCCATATCCATTTATTTATAATTTGCTAATAGCAAAACAATTTGTTTTATACAGTAAATTTTGTTTTGTTTTGTTTTGTTCTGAGTCAAAGTCTCAATCTATTGCCCAGGTTGGAGTGCACTGGCACACTCACAACCACTGCAGCCTTGACTTGCTGGGTTCGGCATAATCCTTCTGCCTCAGCCTTCCAAGTAGCTGGAACCACAGGCACCTGCCAACACACCCAGCTAATTTTTTGACTTATTGTAGAGACAAGGTCTCGCCAAGTTGCCTGGGCTGGGCTTGAACCTCTGGGTCCAGGCAATCCTCTCGCCTCCATCTTCCAAAGTGCATACAGCAAGTTGTTAAAAGGAAGAGCAAGTACTTTTGCTCTGTATAGTTACCCCCAGGTAGGTATTCAATAAATACACGTGATATCAGTATATCAAGAGAAAGACCAGGTTGCTCTGTTGCCACTCAGTCAAAGACTCTGAGTAACTATGCAAGGGCAGGACTCTCCCAGGTATGTTTCTGGAGCTCAAGTGCATATAAGAAAAAAGAACGAAAACAAGCATGCACATTATATATAGGTTATATAGAGAGCTTCAGGAGCACACTAATAGATGGAAACGAATGGCAGTCAAGGTCAAATGTGGCTTCCCCTCAGGATTTACGGGGGGGGGCAAAAAAGGGGAAATGTATTTATAAAAAACTGTGTATTTATTCTTACATGTTCATACTTCAGTCACCTTCAACGTACTCTCCATTTGATGCAAAACACCTATTGAGATGCTTTTTCCACAGCCCAAAATAGTTTTTTAACTCATCAATTCAGATGACTTTTTATGCTTCTGTCGTTTTTGGTTTCACCTCTTCCACATCGGCAAAACATTTCCCTTTGAGGACTTTTTTCATCCAGGGAAATAAAAAAAAAAAAAGTCACTCAAGGCAAGATCAGGTGAATAGGGAGGGTGAGGCACAGAGGTCATGCCGTTTTTGGTCAAAAACTGCTGAACACTCAGCCCAGTGTGGGCAAGTGTGCTCGTAAATTACTCATCATGAAATGGGCAAATGCATTAAAGGAATCTCAAAAAAAAAAAAAAAAAAAATCACTAAAGCCAAACACAGCCTCTCACAACAATGCTAGCTGATATGCTGATGCTGATGGACTCCTAGAACACTTACCTTGAGGGAGAAGCCTATACTAGAAGGGGCCTGCCCTCCAAAAGATAATTCCTGGTTTTGGGGGGGTCTTCCTTTGTAATAAGACCTAATGTTACTGAGAGCTCTTTAGTCTAGATAGAAAAGCATCAGTCACTGCAGGTAGGGAGTAGAAGAAATACTAGACTATGAATCAGAAACCAATATTCGAATTTCAGCTTGCTAACAATCTACTAACAAAAGCTGTGTTACCTTTTTATGCATAAATTTTCTCTGGAAAAAAAAAAGAGGACTGAACACATTTACCTCAGTTCCCTCTCCAAATTCCACTGAGGTGAGAGAAATCAGATTTTTTAAAAGTCAAAAACCTTTAAAATCAAAAACAATGAAACAGGAGAAAAGAGCAATAACACGTTTGAAAGAAGCAAGTAAATGAGTGATGAGATCCAGCAGGCCAAAAGAGCTGAAATCTAAGCCAGCAGCAGGGGAAGCCAAGAAGCAAGCTGCAGGACCTCAGAAAGACTCAGAACTGGAGGCAACAAATACTTCGCAGGCCAGGAATGTAGGTGGAGCTAAACAAGGATGGGCTGGATCAAAGTCTGAATAAGTAGTTAGATCCCTCCATCCCTTCTCCTACTCTGGTGAATAACCAGTTTCACTTTCTAGGGAAGATGAGCCAGAATGCTTGGGTACATGTGTGCGGCTGAGAACAAAGGGATACTAGGAAGATAAGTGAGTTTACAAAATGAATTTCCTCCCCAACCCCTTCCCACTCAGCTTCTGGAAGGCATGGAACCCCAAGGAGAGGACCAGTTTCTGGAGGAAAACAGAGCGTTCAAAAAGGAAAGACCAATGGATAGTGACATTCAGGGATGCCTCAATAAAACAGGCATGAACAATTTCTCTACAGTATATTCTAAAATTTAAGAAGCAATTAAACCCCAGAACACTCCTTAACTGCCCCTCTTCTGCCCAAGATTGAAAGTTTATCCTTCAGAAAGGGTAAAATGGATGGTCTACAGAGGAATTCAAGGCATAGTTTGAAGACAGTATTATAAATTGAATATAAGACTTCAAAAACACTCTTTCCCACTTATCTCCCAGAACCCTAGCACTCTGTCTTACCCATCCAAGCAGAAGACTGGAAGATTCTTCTATAGAGAATATGATTACTTTATAAGAAAATTCAAAATACAGATATTTGGTCAGGCATGGTGGCTCACGCCTGTAATCCAGCACTTTGGGAGGCTAAAGTGAGAGAACTGCCCGAGCTCAGGGGTTCAAGACCAGTCTGGGAAACCTGGAGAGATGGACCATAAACCAAGAAAAATTAGTCAGGCGTGGTGGCGCACACCTGTATCTCCAGCTTCTTGGAAGGCTGAGGTGGAAGGATTACCTGAGTCCAGCAGGTCAAGACTGTGGTGGCCGTGAGTATACCACTGCACTCCAGCCTGGGCGATAGAGTGGGACTCCAACTCAAAAAAAGAATACAGATATTCCCCACAAAATGGCTTAGCATGGCCCACATTGCACCCCAAAGTTGGCATGTCCCACCATGTGTTCAGAGTTTTCAAGCAGCTTCTTAGTGGTCATTCTTAAAAATAAGTAGACAACCAAGAATCACAGGCTTCTAGGGACAAAAAACAGACCAAAACAAACAGGTAAAAGCAAAAATTATATATAGATTTGTCAATTTTTAAAAACTAACAGGGAGGGGGAAAGGGAGTTATTACTTCATGGGTACAGAATTTCAGTTTGGGAAGATGAAAAAGTTCTGGAGATGAATGATGGTGATGGTTACATGACAATGTGAGTGTACTTAATGCCGCTGGCTAACTTGACACCTAAAAATGGTTAAAATGGCAAATTTTATGTTATACAAATTTTATAATAAAAAAAGAAAGAGCCGGGCTCGGTGGCTCAGCCTGTAATCCGGCGCCTTTGGGAAGCTGAGGTGAGTGGATTGCCTGAGCCCGCGGGTTCAAGACCCGCCTGGGCTGCGAGACCTCATCTCTACAATAAATCAAAAACTCAGCCGAACGTGGTAGCGCATGCCTGTAATTCCGGCTACTCGGAAGGCTGAGGCGGAAGGATCGCCGGAGCCCAGCGGGTCGAGGCTGCGGTGGCCGAGAGCGGCCACTGCACTCCAGTCTGGGCGACAGAGTGAGACTCCAACTCAAAAAAAAAAAGAAAAAAGAAAGAGGCTGGGTGCGGTAGCTCAAACCTGTGATCCCAGCACTTTGGGAGGCCGAGGTGAGAGGATGAGGATTGCCTGAGCCCCCAGGGTTCGAGACCCACCTGGGCAACTTGGTGAGACCTCATCTCTACAATACATCAAAAATTAGCCAGGCGTGGTAGCGCGCGCCTGTAATTCCAGCTACCTGGAAGGCTGAGGCAGAAGGATCACCGGAGCCCAGCAGGTTGAGGCTACAGTGGCTGGGAGAGGCTACTGCACTCCAGTCTGGGTGACAGAGTGGGACTCCAATTCAAAATAAATAAATAAATAAATAAACAAATAAATAAATAAAAATAAAAACAAAGGACCTTGAAAATTAAAAATAATGGCCAGGGTGGGTATGGTGGCTTATGCCTGTAATTCCAGCACTTTGGGAGGCCAAGGCAAGAGAATCACTTAAGCTTTAGGAGTTCACAACTAGTCTAGGCAACATAACAAGACCTCAGCTCTACAAAAAAAAAAATTTTTTTTAATTAGCTGTGTGTGGTGGCATGAGCCTGCAGTCCCAGCTATTCAAGAGGCTGAGGCAGAAAGATTACCTGAGTGCAGAAGGTTAAAGATACAGTGAGCCATGATCATGCCACTGCACTCCAGCTTAGACAAGAGTGAGACCCCGACTCAAAAATAAATAAATAAACAAACACATAAATAAATAAATAATGGCCAGGAGCAGAGGCTCATGCCTGCAATCTAGCACTTTGGGAGGTCGAAATGGAGGACTGCTTGAGCCCAGGAGTTTGAGAACAGCCAGGCAATATAGTTAAGACCTCGTCTCTCCAAAAAAAAAAAATGTTTTAGATTAGCTGGGCTTGGTGGTGCATACCTCTAGTGCTAGCTATGCAGGAGGCTGAAGTAGGAGGACTGCTTGAGCCCAGGAGTTCAAGGCCATGGTGAGCCATAATCATGCCACTGTAGTCCAGCCTGGACGAAAGTAAGATTCTGACTCGAATAATAATAACAGAAATAAAAAACTCAATAGAAAGCTTGGAAGTTTAAAAAAAGTATCAAGTCAAAAGACAACTGATAAACCACAAAAAAGTATTTGCCACATGTATCATAGATTAAGGG